ATTTAAATAATATTACATGAAAATATACTATAATTTAGTTAGACCTTGTAAATGTTTATGAAAAATAACTAAAATAGGAGTAAAAATGTTTGAGAATTTCAGAATAGGAATACTATATACTTCGTATATTTTATTCTTCAAATAAGAGTACGTAATCATGGTTCAGTTTCAAAAATATTGAACGTATAAAATATAATAATGTCAAACATATATAGAACTAGTTACTCATATTAAAGAAATAAAAATAGGAATTATATTTTGATGTTTATAAACATTTTTACACGTATAGGCTAATTTGTTAATATTTATTGAATATAGATAGAACTAGTACAGAATTATTAAATTTCTTTAGTCAGTATTTTTCCAACCTAGGGTAAATTGCACCAATATGCTTTATGGTGTCCTACTGTCCTCTATGTACTTCTTTTTTGTAATATTTTCAAAGATTCTTTTTTTTTAATATAATTTCAAAGATTCTTAAACATTGAGATAAAACTTTCCCAATAGTTTCAAACATATGACTGGGAAAAGAAATTAAAGAAGATATCATTTAATTATGTTGTGGTTTTCACTTTTTCTTCTTATTAATCCACTATCCACTATCGATTTGGTTCTAGATTTTTTTTGAAGAACCGATATAACATTCGATAATATCATATTGGTACATTTATGGTAAATATATTGTCGATCATCAGTTAACCATCTATTTACTATTTATATATAAGAAAAGAAATGATTCATCTAAAGACAATCTTATCCTTAATGAAACCTACATGTCTCTTTACCACAATTCTCACCCCTTACTGCCACGTGGCATCTTTATTTTTAAGCTTTTGCTTTTGTTGCTCACAAAGACAAAAATGTTGCTTTACTTTGATTATATTTTATGTATTAATGAATTGTAAATTTATTTTTTAAGCCTTTTGAGTTTAAAAATTAAGGGTAAGATTGTCTTTAGATGAACTATTTCTTTTCTTATACATAAACAAATTTCAGAACAAACACAAATATTACAAGTCACACAGGTATTCAAAGGAAGCGTATACCGTACAGCCGGCTATACGGTGATCACCGTACAGCCGGTGACATTTTTGTAAATTAAATGAAATTCGCGTCTTCTGCTAAATGAGCATTAATGCAATTTTAGTGAGCATCAGACATATTTTGTTGAGCATTGGAAGTCTAAAAAAGAGCACCGTGATCTCTGCTTCGTATTTTCGAATTCACTTTCTTTTTCTTATTTTTTCTTTTATAAAAACTTGTTAAATTATATTTATAATCAACTCTTATGAACATCAATGTGCGAATCTAATATAATATGATACTTTTGAAATATGCATTGATATGACATTTAAAAAATGAGCGTAACATGAGTACCAATTGAGCATACATAGGAGAATCCTAAGTTATACGTATTTGTACAGATATGGGCATACACAAAAGAAATTATGAGCATAGTACACATTTTAAATGAGTTTTTTGATTTTTTTTGAATACTTATTTCATAATTTATGTATACTCATTTGATATTAGTGCAATACTCATTTTAAAATGTCATATTCATGCATATTTAAAAAGTATAATACTACAACAGGAGTCTAATTCATTGCTAGGGAGTCCTTGTTGCTATTGATCTCAAATGAGCTTTATATTAAACTCAAATGAGTAAATGCCTAAACAAAATGAACATACACAAATGAATGTTGAGCATATTAGAAATGAGTTTTATGTTGAATTCAAATGATTATAACTCCCAAAATGAATGAGCACACACAAATGAGTTTTTAATATTTTGATACTCATTTTGTAAGTTGTGTATGCTCATTTGGTACTGTTTTATGCTCATTTTAAAAGATTGCACATGTAAACATATCATAATCCATTAGATTCACATATTGAAATTAAATAAAATTGATTATAGACATAATTTAAGACTTTAAAGGAAAAACGGAAGCAAAAAAAGAAAAAGAAAAGTTAAAATTAAAAAAAAAAATTGTTTTGCAACGTAAAAAAGGTTGACACCTACAGTCATCTCGCTTTTGTTTTGCAACATAAAAAAGGTTTTGTTGAACATCAGCAAACACATCTTTACACGATCAACCATATATGTTTGCCAGTAAGCCAGCGGAATATCAATTTTAACACCATTGCCACGCCTCTTAACACTCATCACCTAACAAAGAAACGTCATGGATCATTTCGTGTTCTTTAATAAGCTTCCATCTTGAGTATCTAACCTTTAAATCCAACAGTTAATTAGCACGGTTAACCCAACAGTAATTTTGAATTTTTTTTTAATTCAATAGTATTTTTAGAATTATTTATTTAATTAGCATTATTCCGGGGGAAAACTTTATTATTCTAAACCCGGAAGGCAAACCATCAAAATCAGTGGGGTAAATATCAGGGAACATTTACCGTGTTTTATTAAATAAAAAAAGATACAAAAAGACAGGGGAACTAGGCCAGTACCTTTTCGGGGAAGGTATTCCTTCCCAAAAATACACAAGAGACAAGATAAACTCAAAAACTGATGGGGGGCTAGACCTGACCTGACGAGCACTTGTCGTGAGTGCGTCAAAATAAATTCAATACTAAACACTTATACGTAGTATAGCGTAGTAGAGTTCGTATCCACAAGGAAATGAATGATTTTCTTTTTATGAAACTAGTAATTAAAAGGGGGGTTTTTGGTTTTGAGTGATTTAATTCAATTAAGAAACTAAGATGAACAACATATATGTGTTTAATTCAAGCATAAAAGGGACTTGGCATTGCTACTTTCCACTTGTTGATATATTATATATTTTAGTCGATCATTGTTATATCTATAACTTATTCCCTCTCGAATACTCAATCGGGGAGTATATTCACTTCATCGAGGGTAGTTATTAACAACGACCGTTCATTAATAACCCTTACTATTAATCAAATATAGAACAACGCCTTATACCGATTTAATAGTAGCATTTAATCTTTCTAACTCCTTGATGAAATCAATTGAGATTGATAACCTCAACACAAGCGGTTTCGGTTTAACCAACAAAATTAATCCCTCTTAAGTTTATTAACCACGACCGTGCATTAATAAACCGAAGTTACTTACTTGTGAAACCATCAACGATTAACCATCGGTTCGTTGATCGTTTCTAGTAATAATTAATATATGAAACAAAACTAGTTGATCCTTTAAGTAATGTTCAAAATATTAATATGAAATATGAGTAGGGATTAATTAATATTCAAGGAAGAATATTATTAAAGAAGATGAATCCTACTATAATTAATATCAAGATGTTAACTAATTGTCATCTTAGCAACACTCCTCAATATTAATATAGAGGAAGAAAATACCATTCTAACTAATGTCGAGATGTTAACTAATTGTCATCTTAGCAACACTCCCCAACATTAATGTAGAGATGATATTAAGGAAAGAACTATTAATTAATATTCAAGGAAAGAAGTTAAGAAAATAACTCACAACTTTAATAATCAACAAGCTTCAAGAGCAACACCAAGAATGGAAGTTTAGTTCCTCATTTGGAGACTAAACATAGCTAGAAAAATATAAAGAAATGCTATTCTAAACTGAGCTTAAGAGTATGGAAGAAGGGATTATTTATAGGTGTTTTTCAACACCTTTGGCCGGGTACCCGACCGGGTCAAGTACTCACCCGACCGGGTCCATGTCAAAATCAAATATTCTCCACGTTCTGGCGATCTTTAGCATGTTAAAGTGTCCGGGTCAAGTCAGACCCGACCGGGTGGGGTAGGGGACCCGACCGGGTGAGTGCAAAAATTGGATATTCTTCACGTTCGGGTGATCTTTGCACACCGGGTTGTCCCCGGTCACTTCTCACCCGACCGGGTGAGGTAGTGGGCCCGACCGGGCCATGCACTTTCTTTGCATTTTCGTTTTTCACTTCTTACCCGACCGGGTCAAGTGTTATTCCCGGTCGGGTATTTGCTCCTGGGCAGCCAAATCTTCTTTTTCTTCACTTCAAAGTCTTCCTTTCCAACACCACAAATCCTAACTAAACTTTACAACTTACAAATAAAGACTAAAATACAATTACAACTGAAATCACACAAATGTTTACAAACTAAATAAAACGTCAAACAATTAACATAAATCAAACATAAAAACATGTAATTATGCACTACTAATTAGTGTGCATCATGACCCATCAGAAGAAATTAACAAAATCATAATCATAATAATCTTAAAGAAGGAATGTGAAAAAAGTCCATCCAATAGGCCCGTTTAGCTAAAATGGGAAGCTGATTATGCCTATTAAAACTAATAAAGTTATCCGTTTGTGCCTGGGCTAGATTCCGGGGGGAAACTTCAAAATATAACTCATTAACTTATACTTTGGGGAAAAAACTCATTTTCCTCTTTTAATATGACTCAACAAGACCTAATTTTAAATAAAATATATTGAGTCATAAACTTTAGCTGTACTGTGTTCGTGTTAAACTCCTATTTTTATTTGATCAATTTCTTAAGTTTAATGGTTTTAAGTAATACGAAGTATGAAGTAGCAAGGACTATATGGATTATGGAATATAGTAAACACTCGGAGCCTCTAATGAATTTGGAGGTCCCGATTCTAAATGGTAAATTGAAGGCACCTAAAACAAGAAAAAATACAAATTTTAACAATGAAAAACAAATGGACTAGACAGTTCAATGAAATTTAAGTTTTATGATGTTTAAAATACACAAATTAGAGAATCTAAAAGTTATTTACCTTTTGAAATCTTGAATAATACATAACATCTTGAAATAATCAACCTTAGTAATACTACATTCTGAATTTTAAAATTTTTGGAGGTCCCTTACAAGCTAGTGTAGATCCCGATGTCAAGCACCTATTGCGCCTTCTAAAAGATGGTCCTATGAACACTTCTACATTTGTTATACGAAGTATAAAGGATTGTGGAAATGAAGTATATTATTTATTATAACAAATAAATAAACAAAAGAAAAACTGTCCGCTTAATTAGTTTTATTGTCATGGAACAATATAAAAGAGAGTAGTACAACGTAGGCAAACTAGGAAAACAGTTCGCCAATTAAGGGAAATTAATCACTCCACTTCCAATGCCCCCACGTCTTCATTGACCATACTAGTCAATCCCAATAGTGAAACAACAATGGGACTTCTAACAATGTTCTTCTTAGAGATCCAAGAAATTGCCCCTTGAACCTGGTTCTCATTATTGAACCCTTTAGATGTTTGGGAAAAGGTAATATTGTAAGATAGTTTCTGGTTCACCTCACGAAAGACAAGAGTTTGTGGCTTAACCAAAACATCAACTCCCCGGATTGCGGTGATTTTAGCCGTGTACTCCGAGTTTGCTTCCCCAACGTTGGTAACTGTCCTGGAATATGTTAAGGACTTCGTTTTCCCGAGCTGGATAGCGAAGGACGGGTAGTTCAGCTGTGCCTCGGGTATGCGGCTAAAATGTGAACAACTAACATTCATGTTCACAATCACTTGAACTTGATTATCGGTGTAGTTAAGACCGCAAAGGTAAGGGATGTAATCGTTAGGTTGCAAGTCATAGACTAACCCGGGATTGATCGCTCTTCCCGGGTCCACGTGACCTGCACCTGTGGCAAAGATATCTGCAGGATTCAATGTTTCATCGGCGATCATACTACGGTTGAGGTTATCCTGATAGGCTGTGGTCATGATAGCCGATTTGATTGCCGCGGGTGACCAAGTCGGGTGTGCGCTCTTGAGTAAAGCTGCAATCCCACTAAGGTGCGGACACGACATTGAAGTGCCAGAAATCATGTTAAACTTTGGTGTTTTCGAACTGCCATTCGTCGCCCTAATCTCGTTTTCATCAATCACCGAATCGGGCCATGCAGCAAGAATGTTGACCCCGGGTCCGATAATGTCTGGCTTTAGGATTCCAGGACTAGCAATGTTAGGCCCGCGGGAGGAGAAAGATGCCACGGCCGGTGCATCTTTCTCCCCTATAATAGTGCCTTTGAACGCAATGGTGGCCGTAGGCGATGAGGTGGAATTTATATAGGCTTTCACCTTCAACCCATCATTGTAACTCAACTCAGTAGCAGGAAGCACATGAGCATCAGCCAGTAGTGAGTAGGCATTGGGTTTATCATTGACAAGAACCATGGCAGCTCCACCGGCAGCCTTCACGATTTTCCCCTTATCCACTCTGCCGACACCGCCTCCTCGGTCACACACCACCACCTTTCCCCTGACATCAGTGCCATTTAGTGACACACAGAATGCGGCGGCGGTTGCGTTGGTTTTGGATGACGAGGCGTCACCGGGGTAGACGATAGACAAAGAAGCCCCGGTGGGTAAGACCCCGCCGAATTGCGCAGCTGATTCGCCGTCTAGTTTGACATTGTTTCCAAGAACTAGGGTTGCCTTGATGCGCCTATCCATGGTGCTAGCGCCGACGGTGAGAAGCCAGGGAGACTCATTTGAGAGTGTATTTGGACCCGGTCCGGAGTTTCCTGCTGAAGAGCTCACAAAAATGCCTTTCCTCATTGCAGCAAAGGCGGCGGCATCAATTACTTCGTCATAGAAAGGCTGACTCGGGCCTATTGACCCTAGGGAGATAGAGAGCACGTCAACGCCGTCGTCTACGGCGTCGTCGATTCCAGCCAGTATGGCGTGGTCTCCGCATCCAGCACGGCTACACACCTTGTACATTGCCACGTGGGCGTACGGTGCCATTCCAGAAGCCGTTCCTTTGGCGTTCCCGAGCAGGGACGCATTCTTCACGAAGCTTCCGGCGGCTGTGCTGGCGGTGTGTGTGCCGTGGCCATTTTCGTCAACGGAAGACTCGTTGACCACGTAGTTTCTTGCACCGATCAGTTTCTTATTGCATGCCGCCGCCGCCGTTCCGGTTAACTCACATTTGCCCTTCCAGTTCGGCGGAGGAGACGGCATGCCTTCGTCAGAAAACGAGGGATGGGCTGGGGTGATCCCGGTGTCTATAACCCCTATTATCACGCCCTTCCCATAGTTTCCCAACTTTTGCCAGAACCCACCACCGCCTTGCCGGACGAGGCCCAAGAACTCCGGCGAATGGGTGGTGTGCAAATGGTACACTTTCTGCGGTTTCGCCGAGATGAACCCTTCTTTACGGCTCATTTCCCTCACCATCTCCGGCGTAAGCTTTGCCGCAAACCCGGAGATCACATGGCGGTAGGAGTGGAGTATTACTGGAGACGGCGGCGATTCTGCTCCGGTGGCTGCAGTGCTGCTGACGAGATCCAACACAAATGATTGGTGGTAATGGTAAAGGGTGGAGAACCTTCGGCCATTGGCGGCGGCCGCCGGGAATGGCCTGACATGAACAATGTAAATATCCTCACCATCACCTCTGATCTGATTTTGGGCGTTGCCGCTGCCGGCGGCGGAATGATGAAAGCCACCCAACACCAAAGAAACGACGACACAAAGAAAGGAAAGGTTATACCAATAAGCCATATATATTTAATTATAGCTAGCTAAGCTAGTAGTAATCGAGCTACTTTTGCTTTGCTTTGCTTAAATTTAATTTGGTGAATTGTATATATAGCTGTTGGAACTTGGAAGTATGTGTTTAGGTAGATTTTATGCTACTGGTACCATACCTTTGTCCATATGAACCAATGAGAATGTAACAGTTGAATTATTTAAATATAAATTAAAAATAATAAAGTGATGTGGTCTAATGAAATGAATGATAGGTACGATACCCCATTTTTTTGAAAGGTACCGGAATTGTGACCATAGTATTTATTGAATATAAGACAATAATGTGTCTTGACGTGGATAAAACTCTTGTCTTACGTGCAAGTTAATTTAAGTGAAAATAGTATGATGACAAATGACCAAAAGTTACTTCTTGGTGTAAAATGATCCTCAAGTTTTTTATTAGGTGAAAAATGACCACAACATGTTCCTATGTCTCTTCTTCTACACTGTTTTCTTTTTGGTTATATCTTTCTCACAGTATATCAGTTTCTTTTTGGTTATATCTTTCTCACAGTATATCAGTTTCGAACATGTGACTCCCTTCTTGGGAGTGTCAGAGTGATATTATCGAAGCACAATTTAGGTGTTTGGCTTCTATATATAACGTTTTCAATGCACTGTTCTTTACAATATATATATTAAGAAATTGAGAAAAGTGTCAAATTGGCCCTCGTATTTTGTACGAAAAGTCAATTATGCCCCGTACTTTAAGTTTCGTCAATTAAGTCCTCCTACTTTGAAATTTTCGTCAAAACCGGTTTTTAGCAGGTAACCCACCAGTGAACAGGTTACCCGCTGAAGTGGCGGACACTAGCCCGACGAGGCACACACATCGCGGCCCCGTCATTTTTTTCTTTCCTTTTTCTTTTCCCTTCTTCTTTTCTTTTCCTTTCTCTTTTCTCTTTCCCCCATTCCCCTTTCCCAGCCCGTACCGTACGTCTGCTTCCTCCAATGCAAAAATCCTCCAGCCATTTCATATCTCCTGCAAACAACCTTGAGCTCCATCTTTCTTTCCCTTTGCCGTTGCCCTTTCTCTCTTTCTCCGTCAATAACCGGAAAGGGTAAGAAACACTATTCATCCGGTGAGACGGAGATCGATTTTTGCTCGCAATTCAAATGTGGGTGATAGACACTAGTTGTTAGTGTCTAAGTATAGGGGTGGGCCAAAATACCGGAAAATCGGTATACCGCACTTACCGTACCGAAAAATACCGAAAAATACCGGAATATTGGTATACTGTCATTTTCGGTACGATATCATACCGTACCGATTTATTTCGGTACAATAACGGTAAATGTTTCCAAATATCGCGGTATACCGGTATAATACCGTACCGACTTCCTACCCAACAATTATTACTTTTAATTCTAGAGTATTGTAAAACTCCATTACAATTATGAAGCCCAAAATTAATACTTACATTGGTTACAAATCTCCAATGACTAATTAGTAATGTACTAATGTCCAAAAACAAATTCATCTTGTTTCAAGAGCTTGCGAGTTGCGATGACTGAGTCGCTGAGTAGCTGATGATTGGAGAGAGGTATACTTATGTGACAGATGTATCTACATAGGGATTCCACGAGTCGAGGCACACAACTTTGTCCAAAAATCTTATTCATTTTTTTAAAAAAATATAAAAATGACTAAATGCACAATATCATACTACCTCCATCCCAAAATGATTAGTCAAATCCAAAACTTTGATGATTAATATATATTTATTGGAAATTATTTATAATATAAAAAGTATATGAATATGTTCTTTGTTAAAAGTAATTTCATAAAAGTATAAAATTTATAACTTTCATAATATTATACTAATCAAAATCATGGTCCAAATTTTGAGATTTGGCTAAACATTTTGGGACAGAGGTAGTATTAGGAATAAATGATTTTATATCCATGTTGTTTGAATAATTTTATTTATTATTGTTAGAGATCACTATTGATTTAATTATATCTATATCGTTCAAGTTATTTTAGGAGAATGTGTTGTTTTTTAATACGTGGCATGTTGAACTGCTTAAATATACTAATAATAATTAGTGTTCAATATTGAGTATGACATCAATAGATTATTAATTATATTTGTAAAATTTTAATAATGAAATAAATATGTCACTAGCTTAGTAACACCGATTTAGCATATTTCGTTAGTCTATGATAATTTGTTGTATTGGGAGACATGCATGGTAATTTACCGATACCGTACCGTTATCGAACCGAAACTTCGGTATACCGAAATGCGGTATACCGAAACTTCGGTAAGGTAACGGTATATAAATTTTGCATATCGAAAGTTTTGGTACGGTAAAGGTATGAGAGAAAATATTCGATATACCGTACCGAACCACCCTTACCTAAGTATACATTTTTATTATTGTTTGTAATGTTTATTTATTAGTTTTGTGCAAGTTTGTAGTTGTTAGTTTGCATTTGATTGTAATCGTATTTCTAGCATTTTATTGTTTGTTGTAAGTTGTAGCTAGTTGGGCTATAAGTTTAGAATAAGTTTGGAAGCAAAAAGGATGAAGAATCCTGAGTTTTGTGCAAAACCCGGTCGGGTATGGCCTTTACCCGGTCGGGTATGAAGTGAAAGAGGAAGTTTCTGGGAAATTATATCAAATACCCGGTCGGGTATTCCATATACCCGGTCGGGTATGAAGTGATTTCGGACAGAAAGACGTGCAAAAGAACACAAAAACGTGGGAAAAAGATTTGATTTGACAAATACTCGATCGGGTATGTCAAATACCCGGCCGGGTATCCGGCCATAGGTGTTGAAAACACCTATAAATAACCCCATTTTTCTTCACTTTTCATCATCCCTTCTTCCATACTCCTAAGCTCAGTTTAGAATAGCATTTCTTTATATTTTTCTAGTTATGATTAGTCTCCAAATGAGGAGCTAAACTTCTAATTCTTGGTGTTGCTCTTGAGGTTTGTTAATTATTAAAGTTGTGAGTTATTTTCTTAAACTTCTTCCCCTGAATATTAATTATTAGTTCTTTCCTTAATACTATCTCTATATTAATGTTGGGGAGTGTTGCTAAGATGACAATTAGCTAACATCTTGACATTAGTTATAGTAGTATTTTCTTCCTCTATATTAATGTTGGGGAGTGTTGCTAAGATGACAATTAGTTAACATCTTGATATTAATTATAGTAGGATTCATTCTTCTTTAATAATATTCTTCCTTGAATATTAATTAATTCCTATTCATATTTCATATTAATATTTTGAACATTACTTAAAGGATCAACTAGTTTTGTTTCATATATTAATTATTACTAGAAACGATCAACGAACCGATGGTTAATCATTGATGGTTTCACAAGTAAGTAACTTCAGTTTATTAATGCACGGTCTGGGTTAATAAACTTAAGAGGGATTAATTTTGTTGGTTAAACCGAAACCGTTGTGTTGAGGTTATCAATCTCAATTGATTTCATCAAGGAGTTAGAAAGATTAAATGCTAATATTAAATCGGTATACGGCGTTGTTCTATATTTGATTAATAGTGAGGGTTATTAATGAACGGTCATTGTTAATAACTACCCTCGATGAAGTGGATATACTCCCCGATTGAATATTCGAGAGGGAATAAGTTATAGATATAATAATGATCGACTAAAATATATCAACAAGTGGAAAGTAGCAATGACAAGTCCTTTTTATCTTTGAATTAAATCTCATATAGGTCGTTCATCTTAGTTTTTAATTTAATTAAATCATTCATCACCAACCCCCCCCCCCCTTTATTTACTAAGTTTCATAAAAAGAGAATTATTCCTTTCCATGTGGATACGAACTCTACTACGCTATACTACTTATAAGTGTTAATATTGAAAATTATTTTGACGCATCGTGACAAAGTGCTCGTCAGTGGGAAATTATTTATTTAATTTTGAAACTAAATTGGAGTTCATTTGCTAGGAATAGCGCTCCATATCATTTTTTAGCCGCTGGGAACGAGTTTTGGAGGCTCATTTGTAGTTGGTCGGAACATCACTTTTCCGGACTCTTCTGGCAATTTTTCCCGGCGCTTTCGGGGCTCGTCCGAAAAAATAAAATATGGGAAGGAGGTCGCCGTGAATAGGCGCACCTCCTCATATTTTGAGTTTGATTTTCCAAGCACTCACCATTTTTGGCGTTACTGTTCACGCCGGCAATGTCAGAGAAGAAGAAAGGTGGACAGGGAAGAGAAGCAAAGAAAAGGGGAAGAGGAAAGAAAATCTGACGTGTCCCGACACGTGTGGGCCATGTGTGCGCCACATCAGCAGGTAACCTGCTGATCGGTGGATTACCTGCTAAAAGTCGGATTAGACGAAAATTCGAAAGTAGGAGGACATAATTGATGAAACTTAAAGTACGGGGCATGATTGACTTTCCGTACAAAGTTACGTACGGGGGCATAATCTGACACTTTTCTCTAAGAAATTTGTTTTTTAATATCGAGAAAAGTTACGTTATTCAGTTTGCAACTTATCTAAAAAATATGCCAGAGTAGTTTTTAAGTCAAAAAAGCAAAAAATGAAAAACCGAAAACTTACTCTAATAATTCATGGTAGATTCTATGGTACCCATAAGGTATCATACCTTTGTCCACATAAACCTATAAAAACGTTGCAGTTGAATTATTTAAGTCTAAATTAAAAATGATATACCTATTTGAACCAATCAAGTGGATGGTAGGTACAGTACCCCATTTTTTAAATGGGTACCGGAGTTCTCACCATAATTAATTCACGAGCTAGCGCGCCTTTATTGATTCAAATTTATTTCCGGTAAAGTACACAGTGTATGAACTTATATCGGAGTTCATAAAATACTACAATTTGTCTCCGGCAGCAAAAAGGGTATATTAACTTACATTAGAGCTATGTAGATACTTTAACTTGTTTTTGCAATGGAGTTATGGTACATCCAGCAAATATAGATGAACAACTTAGCAAAAAAATGACAATGATTTGTTAATTTTGAGTTTAAACTAGTTAAGAATTGAAAATGATTAAAATTTTGAGTTTATAAAATCAATG